ATATATATATATATATATATATCCTAACTGTGATAGATGAAGTAAACATTTTCTTTGATCTCATCTTATTTAAAATAGGTTTCCTGCATCATAAAGACATGTTTGCAGGCTTTGTCGCTCAATGAACCAAAGTTCAGTTAGCAGAGGGGGGTGGGTGGGGGGAGGGGGCTTCGCTGGACGTAATGACGTATCAACCATTCTGCAGGCGTCTTTCCAATCACGTGATGAGTTTGAAGTGGGAGTGTAAAGATGGCAGCCCCTCTGAGAAACATGGCTCGACAGAGAAGTTTCTGCCTTTTGTTACCTGTAAACAGCGTCAGTAGAATAATATTTGGGTTCGTGGTGGTTTCTGTTCTGGTGAAGCCGTCGCTGACAGACGAGCTGGACTTTAAGGAGGAATTTTTGAAGCGGGAATATTCTCTGGTCAAACCTTACCGCGGTAAGTCAATACCAGGCAGATAATGTCAGAAGCTGACAAGTAACATTTTTGAAGGGATTTAACCTCCGGAGCGCTAAGGTCATGTTGGTTATTATTTAACTAACGAGCTTTGATGCAATCAGCGCTTCAACACCAAACGAGAGGTTTAGGTTTCAGCTGTTCAGCCTTTTCTGAACTCTGGGTTTTTACACAATCTAATGCTAATACACCCAGCAGAGTTTATTTATGAAGTGTTCTTATGTTTTATTTACTTTAAATCTTCTCCTCGATTTATTGAAAACCCACGTTGGTCTAAATAAAAAATACATAAATAAAAATAGAAGTGTGATGGATCAGCTGGAAATCTTTTGTCCTCAAGTTTCACAAGTAGGAGCTGTCATCTGCCTCAACTACTAGAGTTATCACAGGAAGCTTTATCCCAGGATAGAGTTATCCCAGGATAGAGTTATCCCAGGACAGACCTGTCCCAGGTTTTATGGTCTGTATTCAGGTGTCTTTTATTAACTAATCATGTTTTCATGTGATTGATGTATTGGTGGACAGTCAGGTCAGACCTGTCAAACATTCAGACCTTAATAATAACTGGTATTGGTGCACTGATGGCAGTTTTCTGGCCAGTCACTGTTCTGTAAAATCTGGACCTGCTGGTTCTGATTTTGTCTGATACAGATTTTAAATGACGACACTGTCAGGTGTTAGTGCATCACTAATAATCAGTGTTTAAATTTGGACTAATGCTTTAAATTGCAGATTGGACTTCAGCTGTCCACAGGATCCTCCTGTGTTTGCTGTTGTCATTATACAGGTCCTTCTCAAAAAATTAGCATATTGTGATAAAGTTAATTATTTTCTGTAATGTACTGATAAACATTAAAC